CCCTCATTTCAAACTCATGACAAAGAAAAAATATAATAACAATAACAATAATCATCATCATCATCATCACTATAATGATGATGATCATAATAATAAAAATAATAATAATTATCATCATTATCATTAATATCATTATCATCATTACTACCATTGGTATAATCACTATTGAAAATAACATCTTTCACGGTACCATCACTTCCCAAAATAAACGAACACTTTCCTCTGCCCTTCAGTCCCTGACCACACAAATAAATAAAATTCCAAATATTTCACTTCCATTTTGCAACACAAGATATTTATACTGGTTTCAAAATACCAACTACAATATTGTTCTTCCTAAACATGAGCAAATGAAAAAAGGATCCAACTTCGACATTTGGATAAATAACCCACAGGAAGTCTATCAGTGGTTGAGCATTCATCAAGAATGGTTGACCTGGAGCCCATGTAATTGGCAGATTGCTCTAAAATAACAAGAAATAATAAACCAGGCCAACTGTTATTAATATCATCATTATTATATCTTTTAATTAATGACCTGAAACCATTTTCTTATTAAATGCTGAGTGCTTAAGTCCCTCATTATCAATGGAGAGACCAAAAAATGGGTGCTAATAAAAAAAAAAAAAAAGGAAAACTACTCAGGACACACAGAAAAATCAACTAATCAATTATTACTATTACAGTAAGCTCGAAGATTTCCCTCTTTTTAACTTGTTTCTAAGGTTATTGTATTAATGTTGGCAGTAAAGAGCAAATAACTCCAGGAATAATGTTGCATCTTACTATTTCGCAAAGTTACATCTTGATTAATGATGTAGCTATAGCAAAATCATAAAATTAGTCTTAGATGAATAAGCCTTCTTAGTTTCCCTAGCCATTATATATTTGAAATGAGACCCTTTCAAGCAACAATGTAGCCTCCATTTCTCATGTTCTTGTGAAGGCCAAGAAACTTCCAAATGCATAAATTCTGGTAAGTAGAGCTTGGATTCCCCCTTTTCTTGACAATAAAATGTCAGAGAGCTTTACATGCTGTCTTACTCTAACCAAAATAGCCTATGTGTGGTGGGCCTTCCTTGAATATAGCAAGAACAGAAAGTGTGGTGGTCAGGACATCAGTAAACAAGCAGCAAAGGCTTACTTTTGAGCAGAATATTTGATAATTCATTCTAGGGCCAATGAGTTTTTTTTTTAATACCATATTCAATGAGAAATATTGGTGTTCTATAGAAATATAACTATTTTGATTGGTACAATATCTTGAAGATAGTCCTAATAGTAGGGGAGGGCATGAAAAATATCAGGTAAATTGCAGGGTAAAACAGGCTAAAACAGAATGATTGTAGAAAGAACATATAGAAAAAGAAAAGCAAAAAAACAAAAAACAATTAACCTGTGATTCCCTACAGTGATGCCTGATATCATTGAAAGTCTTATGGTTACAGCACCAACTTTCAAAAAAGTCTACAGACAACAAACACATCCTTCTGTAAAATCTCTGAAAATAAACACCAACATAAGCCCCACCTAACCTCAAAGGCTGTGTTCGACCCCCATAGTTCTTGTACTATAAGATATAACCATATACATCCTAGGCAGGGGGCTCAGCCCCCCTAAACCCTGTGGTATTTGCATATTACATTCTAACCATAGAGACATCAATCATCTTTATACAATATGTTCTAACATTACATTATACCTAACAACCTGGACCCTAGTATTGCAGACCTTAATCAGGAGGGATACAATTTCAATGCAGCTAACAGGAACTCAAACAGTAATTCCTATAATTCTACATATAATTTGCTCTCTGAAAACAACACATCTTATGACATACAGAATTTTTTGTCCATTTTGGGAATTATTCCAACTTGTTTTTGAATCATTATAGTTTTTTTTTTCAACATCTGGGACACATGAAGGATTCACTTATCATGTTTTGATGGATATTAATGTCTAGTTTTGCATGGCTACACATCATTACAAAAATAACCAATAGCCTAATCATTGCAACAATGCTAACAAAACATTTATCACTCATGCTTGTCACAGAATGAAGCCTCACAAACCTGCTATGAAAATGCTGTATATTACTGTATATAAATAACTTTAGAAAAGTATAAAAGTAAATCATTATAAGCATAAGACCACTAAGTAAATATCTTGGCGACTTGGTTGCAGCAAGATGATTAAATACATATTAAAAGCACGATATATGAGTGCACTCATATTTTTTCCTTTTATGGAGTTAGTTACACCATACAGAATAGGAATATAAAACTTTCTTGAAAATATAGAATATGTTTATCTTAAATTTGACCAAATATTTTCACATCTACTAAAACTGCTTGATATGTTCCATATCTTTATCGCATTATTTCTTCTACATTTCTGTATCTTTATGCTTTTTGTGATGTGAACATTTTAGATAAATGTCAATATAGGTTTTCATATACTATATTTTCATACCAATAAAAGGAAGATATAAGTACATTGCTCTGTCATCTTTTCAAAATTAGAGCACAAATAAAAACCTGGAGGCTTAGGCTTTTACACCTATTATATTCACCTATGAAACCCGACCCAAAAGGTGGCTTGGACCATCATTCAATGTCCTTCACCAGAAATGAGTGGCTTCTTATGGTAAAGGCCATATTTAGCAACTAAAAAGTATTAGTTAACCCATATGATTTGGATGACCTGACCATCGCATCATGAAAAAAATTGGCTTGAGTGCAGATGACATGAACATGTCTTCATGGGAAAATGGCTGAGGGTCTGGTTGATGAGAACTTGCCTTCAAGAGAATTTCAGCTGAAGCCCGGGATAATGGGAATTACTTGCCATGAATGCACAATGCTCTTGAAGGGTGATTAGGCTCAGTGGACATTTTGGAAGGATCTTTTTTTTTTTTTGATATCTCAAACAGCACCAGCTCCAGGAAGGTTGCTATTTTCATGTTTAGGATGCTATTCCTGCCTGCTGTGACAGGCAGCACAGATCGTATTAGAGAAAATTTATTACAATCTTTTCTTTATGACACAAATAATAGTGTTATTTGTTATCATCACTATTGCACTGGGTTATGGACTACCTAGAGAAATGACATAGAGTCTGCATAAAAAAATCAGTCTACAACCAGGCAGATAAAGCAAATCAAATGAAAAATATAAACAATGGAGAATGGCAAAAAGTCAAAAATATTTGAGCAAGAAAAAGAGAAAATAACATTTATGAAAAGGAGAGGCATGGAGTCTTGTCACGCACCCACGTTACGAGTGTCCGTATTTTAGGGCCATGATGTTGCAATGACATTGAAACATTGAGATCCAATGAGTTAAGTGTAGCATATTTGAGAAAGTTTAACCCATTGCTACCGGGATGGCATATACAGTTGCAGACATTTCCAACTGGTACACCCCTATGGTGTGTGGACTGAATTTTCCCTGGTAGTACATGTGTAGTATCTAGTATTTTGTGAATGGAAAGCTTGTATGGAAGGAAGTCTGCGTCTGGCACCTGGTATTTCGCAAATATAATCACAGGCTACTAATATCAGCCAGTAGAATTAAGTTAAAAAGTTTGGAAACATTACAAATTTTGGCTGAATACCAATATTATGGCTTGAAATATATGGTATTTTCCTTAAAAAAGAACAACTGGAATCTTTTGCATAATCATGATAGCCAAACACCAATAACAACATTTAATCTTGTTACTTTTAAACAAAAAACGCGCATGTAAAACTATATGTAAGAATTTTTGTTAAATATATTTTCTGTTAATATAAATTGTAAGGTTTTCTCATCTGATTCATTAGCTTTGCACAGCTTCCGTATGGAATTTATGAACGGCAAATCATACAATTGCTTGATGGGTTCTTTATGCACTCTAGTCACATGGATTGATCACTTAAATAAGATTAGCAGAGAGCATTAGGTTAGAAATATAGGTTAATCTGGACAATATAGACTTTTAATAAACAAACATGAAATGCTACTAAAATGGAAGAACAACATGCAACTAACCGGGAAGTAAAATTTAAAGCGTGGAAAGACATAATTACACCATAATATTAAAATAAAAGTGCTGAAATTTGTTGCTTGTAGACTAAGTCCCCTTCTTCACTTATCAGCTAACTTAATGTAAACAAACCATGTAACTAAGAAGATGGCACTCAAGAAAATAGTGCGAGTGCTACTATTGATTTATAATTTATGCCTAATCTCATGTTCATTTTCCATACTCTCCAAACAATATATATTACCTTTATATTCATTCATGTAACTAATTTCTCTAATCTATTCACATTTTGTACATATCAAAATTTGGTGTGATGTCAGTGTATGATGCAGTGATACGTCACTGGCCATTGGGTCATGGTTGCGCATGGTGTTCGAAGTGCCACAGAGAGTGTAATGAACCAGTAAAACAGTTTGTTATTGGTATGATTTATAACATGAAACAATGCGAGGATAAAATGGAAACACTTACTGAATTAGTGCAGGACCATGGATTCATTTTAAAAAGTACTAGAATGCCCCAAGTGCTAGCAAAAGTGCAAATTTGATATTAAACAACACATCTTCAAAGCTCTACCCATTCTTTGGCTGATTATATCAGGTA